TCATATCATCGTATTATATTAATTAATTAATCACCTGAAAGTGCTTCATGTACTTTTGCCGGTAGTAGCTCCGCAAACGCAAAGGGAAGTAGTCTCTGCATAAAGACTGACAATCATGGCTCTTCATCCCGGAGAACTTTTTTCCTTTCTCAACACATCTTGAGAGATTTGAAACATACCCATCAGGAAACTTCACTTCTGAAGCCACCCAGTTGAACAACGCAGACTTTTTTTCTGATGACAGTCTGAATATTGGAACTGGAACTTGCCCATTGCTTTTTATATGTAGCTCACTCCTTGAGCAGATATTGGGTAAGTCCAACCTCGATTTTACGTTGTCTTTCGTCTTCCCTGGGACATTCAATATAGTGTTCAAAATGTTCTCAAAAAAGTTCTTCTCTATATGCATCACATCGAGGTTGTGGCGCAAAAGAAGATCTTTCTAATATGGCAATTCCCAAAATATACTCTTTTGTGCCAATTGTGCTGAACACCATAAGAATCAGACATATTACTTGGAACATGTCAATTCCCACCACGAGGAGCTGTTTCTAGAGCACCGTAGTAATCGATTTGCGCTTCGATTTGTTCTCCAGTTAAATATGGAGGAGGAGTGTCTCTAACAACCCTTTTGTGTCTGAACAATTTCTTGTTTCTTCGATATGGGTGGTAAACAGAAAGACATCGACGGTGACAATCGAACTAACTAGTCTTCCTACCATGCTTCAACTGAAATGCATATGTCATTCCATTACAATATGGACAAGCTAATCTCCCATGTGTAGTCCACCCAGACAATATCTCATATGCAAGAAAGTCACTTATAGTCCACAAAAGCATCGCGCGCATCCTAAAGTTTGTTTTTGTTGAACAATCATATGTCCTCACCCCTGTTGACCACAAATCTATCAACTTTTTTATCAGTGGTTGTAGAAAGACGTCAAGAGATCTTTTTGGATGTTTTGGACCATGTATTAATATGGTCATGAATAGAAACTCTCCTCGCATGCACATCTCCGGTGGCAGGTTATACGGTGTAAGAAAGACCGGCCATAATGAGTATTGTCTCCCAGACATTCCAAATGGACTAAATCCATCAGTGCATAATCCAAGATACACATTCCGGCTATTGATAGCGAAATGTGTACGTATATTGTTAAAATGTTTACAGGCTCTTGCATCTAATGGATGATTCATCTCTCCATCCATCCGAGTATGCTCGGCGTGCCATCTCATCCCTCCAGCAGTCTCCTCAGATTGGTACAATCTTTTCAATCTGTCTGTGATTGGTAGGTACCACATCCTTTGGTACGGTACCCTATTACGCCCTCGACCTTGCGGTTTGAATCGTGGCTTCTTACAAAATCGACATTCTTCTAACTTTTCATCATCTCCCCAGTAAATCATGCAATTGTTGATGCAAACGCCTATCATCTCCGAGGGCAACCCAAGACTATATACTAATTTCTGAATCTGATAATAAGATTCAGCAGACACATTGTCTTATGTCAAATACTCTTTAAACAAGTCTGCCCATGCATCCATACAATTTTCAGGTAGATTGTGATCGGTTTTTATACTCATCATTCTAGCAGCCAACGACAATTTAGACAAACCTTCTCTACAACCACTGTAAATTGGCTCATTCGCAGCTTCTAACATTTCATAAAACTTTTTGCATCTAAGTTAGGTTCTTCAACTTCATCATCATCATGAGTTACAAATGCATCACCTACCATATCATGAACCCTATCACAATCTACATTTTGTTCCTCTTGGTGATGATAGCTATTTTCATTACGCAAATGATCAACCGGTTCAACCTGAAAATTGCTATTACTACTACTACATTTATTCCTACAACTAACATCTTCTCCATGTTGATACTGAATATAATAATATGGCATAAAACATCTATTTATTAAATGCTTCCAAACATTTTCACGAGGGCCTAATTTTGTATTGCAGCATTTCCGACAAGGACAAAACATCTTACCACTTTCCTGCGTGAGTGGTGTAGAATCTGCTTGATGCATAAACGTCTCTAACCCTTCGAGAAATTCTTTCGTCACCCTCCCGTTATTATCTCTGTGTGAATACATCCACTTCTGCAACTCAAAAATATTTCCTGGACCGGACATTTTTTTTGTGTTTGATCAAGCTTATAGCTGATTTTTTTTGTGTGTTTCAAATGAATCACAAATGGTGGTATTTATAGAAATTTTCGAATCTGAGCATTTACTAGGAAATTTCTAGGAAATGTAGGTAAAAAACACGTTTTTGATTTAAATTCAATATTTTCTATCCAGTTCCTCCGATTTCGTAGTAACAAATACATTCCTCCTAATTTCGTAGTAAGGTTTTACTAGGACTTTACGAGGAAAGTTATTACTACGAGTTTACGAGAAAATGGACTTTTGCCACGTAGTTTCCTTGTAAAATTACTACGGTCTTACGAGGAAAACCGAAGTAAGTTTGTAGTAAATTTACGAGGAAATATTCTCCTAGTAAAATTTCCTAGTAAATTCTTAGTTTTTTGTAGTGTAACAAACCTTATTTGTACTGAATATTTTGGGTATCAACATACATCTGAATCATATTTATATACTTGAATATATTAGATACTTTTATATTTAATAACAAAAAAATCAATCAATATATATATGGAATATATTAAATAGCTAAATAATACTCAAAACATCAAAAATACTTAAATATCTATTTATTATCCATCTAAATATTTAAACAAACTAATTTTTATGTTCAATTTAGATATTTTGGCATACACTACTTAAATTTATGTGTTATATATTATTTTTATTTTTTAAATTTTGAAAAATTTAAAGTATATATGAATTTTTTAAATTTCAAAAATAATTCCAAATGGGTCATCCAAACATGTAAAGATCTGAATCGAATTCTAACCAAAATTTATAAATACCCGAATAGGACTGAAAGCTTTACCTCCGAAATCAAAATACCCGAACTAAACCTGGATGCCCACTCCTAATTACCATATTTTTTCCTCTTCGTGTAACGCTTAATTCCTTTTGAAACATATATGTACAATTTAGTAAACCTAATTAATGATTCTATTTGTTTGGTTAGTAGAATCCTCAATTCATATTGTTGTAGTTTGAAAATGATAAAAGTACATAGCGATTTTGTTTTTGGGTGAAAACAACATAAACGATTATTTTGAAAGTATTAATAGAAGAGTGACACACACTCTTTTGTAAATATATACATTTCTTCTATTTTTGTACGTAATATTATTGAAGAAAATGAAATTTTTTATATTCTAATATCTGAAGTATACTATCCAGTTTAAAATTTGAATTTGTTTTAGTTAGATGAGTTTGATAATGATTTTGTTTCATATGTGACTGAAAATTAATGATAGCTATATCTATAAAGTTTTCTTTAAATAAAAACATTATTTTTTATTATTTTGAATGAATGGGAAAATATATTCAACCCAAAAAATCTTTTTACAATGACTGTCTTTTTGTTTTATGAGTTTTTAACTATCAAAGAGAAATATACACGACAAGTTATTAATCCTATATGTGAAATGCTTCTTTCCTTCCTAACATTATTGCCGGAATACAACAAAAGCTATGTCACCACCGCACCTACAGTTCCACCACTTCCCGTCATTCCCACCATCACTCCTAGCTACATGTCACCGGAAATTTAAAAAACAGTCAATTAAACTGAAATTAATAAATTAAAAAATGAATAGTAAAGTGGAGACAAATGGTACGATGCCAAAAATGAAACCAAAAGAAGCTTAAACGAACATAGAGAAGACTCACATAACAGCAATCGATCCCCAGAGCGAGTTGACTCGTCCGAGTAACACACACAACAATCCAGCCACATATTGCACTATCCAAACTCTCCCAGAGCCTCCTTCTCATCCAGAATCTTTTCCCCAGCAAATCCAAAACCATCCCTCCCGCCGATCACGATGCAACGTTTGATATTGCGTAACTCGCGGCGATCATTCCCGCCGCCACTAAATTCACGTCATATCGCTCGTAAAAATATCCTCCAAGAATCACTTTCATTTTATGATATTGATATGGCTTATGATTATAGTTACGGAGAGAGAATATCTTGCTAAAATTTCTGATTTATGAGTTTTATGGGCCACATTCCTTAAACAAAACAAATTTTAAAAACATGAACCCAAAATCATACTTATTTCTGTGCTAACGTGGCAAAACGAAATGTTCTTATTGGTCAATTATTTTTTCTGACGTAGATATCTTATGTAAAACTTATATCTCCCTTTTAATACTCGTTTGATATGGCAATGTTGGTTTTTATTAATTTCACATCACCAGTATTCGATACAAATATTCTATATAAACATTAATAATATAAACAATGGTTTATACAAAACATACGTACATATTAAAAATGTTACAGGTCAGAAATTTTGATTATAACATTTAAAGTCAATAAATATTAATATGTCTATTTAAATGTTGGAAGATTTTATTTAGTGGCTATAAAATAAGTTAATTATAATATTTGGTTAAATGTGATAGCTGGACTAAAATACTTTTTAAATTAATTATAATATTTGGTTATATGTGATAGTTGGACTAAAATACATTTTAAAGTAGATTTTTAGGATGATTCTGTTTTAATATGTATAGAAATTGAAAAAAATATATAGATAGATAGATAGACTAATAAATAAAACATCAATTAAAAATATAACTAGCCACTATTGTTTGGAAGAATTAAGTTGAGGTGCCAAAACCCCGTTTCAACTTTCAAGATGTGCCTCTGCCAATAATAATCCACGTCGTTGTAATCTCGTTGAGTTGACCAAAGTACCCTTAAAGCTCAGGTGAAAATAACGTAATTAACCTTTTGTTTTCTTACGTCCCACAAGTTTCCTCCTCTTCCAAGACTTGATTGGGTCTTCTTTGTCTCCGAGAAACCATCATATTTACTCTTTTCACCAATTCTCAATAATAAAAAAAAAAAGTAACCTAAATTGCGCCTTTCCCGCTTCCCTTTGCTCTGTCAAAATCTCCTCAACGAATTATTCGGGAAAGTCCGTCGTGTGATCTTATTGTTCTTTGCTTTCTTATAGATTTCTGTTACAAAAACTTGGTTCTTTCCCCTCACTCTCTCTTCATGTTGATGATGATGATCTCTTTCGATGGTTAATTAATATTTGCGTAATTGTTTCGATTTTCTCTCCCCTGTTTTCGATTGAAATTAGGGTTTTACTTGTAGTGTTCTCTGTTGATTCTAAAGTTTGTGCCTTTTTTTTGTGTGCATGTTGTAGCTGTCGAATAAGGCGTTGATTTGGTTTCAATAGGTCACTGATGGGGTACAAAATGGTTTATCGATCTCTCACGGAATTGTTCCCACAGGTAAAAAAGCTCTCTCTCTTTTTTTTAATCTCCTTTCTTTGACATGTGATCGTGTTTTATACACATATATATTCCCAAAACAGAGTGTTTCATAAACGTAAAGTAAGACACTTTGTAATGGTAAGAAGATGTGATCATCGTTCAGTGTGTGTTTTGAAACCACTTATGTTAGCTTTTTTAAGGCCGTTACAACTAACTATACACAATGCAGATTGATGCAAGGATTTTAAAAGCTGTTGCTATGGAGCACCCTAAAGATGCTGACGAGGCTGCAGCTGTTGTTATTTCGGAGATTATTCCCAAGTTTGACCCTATTTTGGCTGACAACAATGGTGTGTACATGTTCTTTCTTTTTATCAGTGATGTTAAAAGTTACATGTCCCTTGTCTTTTCAATTAACATGCATGAGGGTATATACTGATGAAACGGGTTGTTGGAATTGGAAATGTAGTAGATTCCGAGACGGGTGCTTCTTCTTCAGGAAGTATCCCTCTGCCTCTTGATGGTGATCATCAAACAAGGGTCCCAGTTACGGAGTTGATAAATGGTGATCTTGATGTTCAGAGCAAAGCAATGATTAGCGGAGGATCGGATGAGTCTAAAGTGGTTTCCTCAGATACCCCTGCCTTCCCTCAGGCGGGAACCAAATTTACTAGCGGTCTTTGGGAAGGTAGTGATCAAGCAGAGCCAAGCACAAGCGCTGTTTCAAATCATACGCTGGTTTGTCCTGCAGCAGACAATTCCCAAGCCACACAGGAACCATCTCGTTCAGATGATGTAAGAGAGGCTTCATTGACTGGTGAAAACAGTGATGCAGAGTTGACATCAAATGCTGATACAGACCTGGATGGTGCTTTTAGCTCTGTTGTTAGCAGATCAACCCAGGGATGCAAGATTGATCACCTTGAAAAGATCATTGAAGATGCCAAAAGTAACAAGGTGTGCTAACTAGTATGTTTCATGGGTTTATGTGTAGTAGTGAGTAGTGTACATTATAGTATCCTTCTTTCCTTCTTATTTTTATTTTGTGATGGTGCAGAGAACCTTGTTCACTGTGATGGAATCGATTATGAATCTGATGAGAGAAGTGGAACTTCAAGAGAAGGATGCTGAAAAGGTGAAGGAAGATGCTACTAGAGGAGGCTTTGATACCCTTCAAAAGGTGGAGAATCTGAAGAAGATTCTGGCACATGCCAAGGAGGGAAATGACATGGTGACTTTTTTTTTTTTATTGAGAATGTGTCAATACGTGTTTGCTAATAATGTGCTTAGACTTTTAATCATCTTTTATGTCAGCAGGATGCTGGAGAAGTCTATGGAGAGAGGTCAATTTTGAGTACTGAAGTAAATGAGCTTGAAAACCGTTTGCTCAACTTATCAGAAGAACGAGACAAGTCTCTGTCGGTTCTTGATGAGGTCCGTGCAAGTCACATGATTTGCTCAATATCTCTGTTTTCCAATTAGACCTTGCTTAATGATATGCTTCTTTTAGATGCGTGGAGTCCTTGAAATGAGACTAGCGGCAGCTCTTGAGATTAAAACTGCAGCTGAGCAAGAAATCCAAGAAAAAGAAGGTTATGCACGGAAGGCACTCGCTGAACAAGAAGCGATCATGGAGGAAGTTGTGCAAGAATCAAAGCTTCTACAGAAGGAGGCAGAGGAAAACTCCAAGGTAATATATCGCTTCCTTTTTCATTGCTCCCCACTAACGAATTATTTTGAAGTCACAGTTTCTTTAACATGTTTTTTGGTGGTGTGTTTCCTGCAGCTGCGAGAGTTCCTTATGGATCGTGGTCGAATCGTTGATTCCTTACAGTAAGTCTTCACTCAATGACTTAAGCTAACCAATGTATTAGATTTAATGTCCAGACCCATAGATCTGTTGATGTATTTAAACTTGTATTTGCTTCTTGGTTCTCGCTTGAACAGGGGAGAGATCTCTGTGATCTGTCAGGACATTCGAATCTTGAAAGAGAAATTCGACAACAGAGTGCCGTTGAGCCAATCAGTCACCTCAAGCCAGACGAGTTGTAAACTGGCTTCTTCGGGATCATCCATGAAGAGCTTATTGCTTGAGAAGCCTCTGGAGCTATCTTATGAAACACCTGAAGAAGCCTCTGGCAACAACAAGAGCTCAAAAGCTTCGGTTGACGAAGGAAAAGACGAACGTAAGGAGCTCCTCGAAGATGGCTGGGACATTTTTGACAAAGAGACATAACTCTAAATGCATCTCTTTTGTAGAAATAAACTTAGTTTTGAAGTGATTTTTGGGTTCGACGTTTAACCCCCCCCCCCCCCCCCCCCCCCCCCC